CTCTGAGGCTAGTTCGGTGCACTACCTCTGACCCAGCTTCTTGTGCTACAGGCTTTTTGCAAAGGACCAACAGCCTGGAAGAGAAGAGCCGGCTTGTGAGCGCTTTCAAGGAGAGGCAGTCCTCCAAGAACCTGATTTCCTGTGAAAATAGTGACAGGGATGGCCGCTTCCGGCGTACGGAGACCGACTTCTCTAACCTGTTTGCTCGAGGTACTTCTTCCCCATCTCCACTCCTCCCCCCTCATCCCCACCCTTATCCCCCCACACCCCCAACCTTAGGGCTATCCAGTAGGTTCTCTATCTGAGTTTCTTGATCTTTTGCTGAGATTTTACTTCTTTTATCAAAAATGTCATCACTTTCTCTAAACCATCATGGAACTACTTTTCCAACATTTGAATCCCTCCTTCCTTAGTACCCAGGTCTCCATTGTTTTGGAAGCCAGATGAGAGCAGTCAATAAAACAGTCAACTCTAAAGGCACTTGCAGGGACAAACATGGATTCATAGAATCTCAGAATCTGAAGGACTGTCACATGTGAGAAAACCCAGATAGAAATGCTCTCCATCATGCACCTGATAGGTGCCCATTCAGCCTGCAACCCAGTAATTCCCTTGATAGCATTTATCCTACAAAGTTGGCAACAACAACAACAGAATCACTGCATGGGAAGCTGTGTGGCTGGGCATCATGACCAAGGGCTGTCCTGAAACTCATTTTCCTTTTCACTAATTACTGCTGCCCCCATATCACTGGTTTCCCCGTCTCTCTCTCTCAAACAGCTCAAAGTTAAACCCACCCCTTCCACTAACATCCCACAGGCCAGCGAGGCCAGACCAGAAGAGTAAACAAGACTTCAGTTAATCTCAGAGATAATCCTGGAAATAGATACAGAGCATCATGTATAGCCATTCTGCTCTTGAGCTGTGGCTGACAACCTCAGTTTGGGCCCCTGCAGCTTTCCTTCCTAATCCCTCAAGCTGACTGCCAAATAGAGGCAGTAACTCAGAGTCACCTGCAGATATCCCTAGGTGCAGGCCCAAAAGGACGCAGTTAAGAGAGGTGGGAATTTCCTCTCCTGCCTTCCTGAGCCCCATCTTCCAGTTCTGGTTTCTTGTCTGAGGACATCACAAGGGACCACCCTCTTCAGGAGAAACCTTAGCCTCTTCCTACAGGGGCCTTACCCTCCACGGTCAATAGATCAAGCACATCATGACACCAAACCAAAAGTCCAGTGTCTGAATCAGATGTACGGGGACACACCATGTACGAGGGGAGCAAGATAGAAATGCCCTCCATCATGCACCTGATAGGTGCCCATTCAGCCTGCAAATGGACAACTGTAGTGTCAGGCTGTTCATGGCTTCTCAAAGCACTCCATTCTGTTTATGAGCAGCCCAACTATCAGGAAGTCTGTGAACCCCTAGAAAGTGTACACAAAACCTCTGCATATATGCACATACTCATCCTTCTGGGGAGATGGCGCATCACACAGGATATGTATACATATCCTGGAATGATATTAGGCCTATAAAGATATCGTGGCTAACATTAGGGATTTCTGGGCCTAGGAAAGCCAGATATGAGTCAGGTGATAACCACTCATTGGCTCCCCTCCCAGATCTGCTTCCAGCTAAGAACGGGGAGGAGCAAACTGTGCAGTTCCTCCTGGAGGTGGTGGACATACTTCTCAACTATGTCCGCAAGACGTTCGATCGCTCCACCAAGGTGCTGGACTTCCATCACCCACACCAGCTGCTGGAAGGCATGGAGGGCTTCAACTTGGAGCTCTCCGACCACCCCGAGTCCCTGGAGCAGATCCTGGTTGACTGCAGAGACACCCTGAAGTATGGGGTCCGCACAGGTAAGAATGAGAGCCAGGCAGGCATGCAACAGCACCCTTGCCCTGCACCACACCCTTTCCAGTTGTGAGAATGTTAAACTCATGTTGGAGGATAAACACAAACCTAGTGAGGGAAGGCAGCAAAGTGCTCGGTGACCACATAATGACCTCAAGCAGCGTCAGTTAATAGAAGGCCCCAACACCTGGCAAAAGCCCATCATCATTTATTGTTGTAAAAGTAAATTTAAAAGATATACAGATACACAATGCTATATCAAGTTCTGTATAAAGAGTTCTCATTCTTGCTTTTAGGCTATTCACAATCTAAAGAGAACAGAATGACCCATCCCTACTTCTTTATTGCCTCCATTTTCATGCCTATTTCATTCTGATAAATTGTATCCTTGCCTGTCCCTGAAACTGGGAAGAATTGAGCCCATTTCCCTCCCTTTTTATATTAGTTTCTTTGAGCTGCCATAAGAAATTGCCACAAACTAGATGACTTAAAACAACAGAAATTTATTCTCTGGTAGTTCTGGAGGCTAGATGTTCAAAATCAAGGTGTCTGCAGGGCCATGCTCTCTCTGAAGACTCTTGGGGAGGCTCCATCATTGCCTCTTCCAGTTCTTGGTGGTTGCAGGCATTCCTTGGCATTCCTTGGTGAGTAGATATGTGACTCCAATCTTTGCCTTCACCTCATATAGCATCCTCTCTGTTTGTGTGTCCAAACTTCTCTCTTCTTATAAAGATACCAGTCTTTGGATTAGGGTCCACCCTAATCCAATATGGCCTCATCTTAACTTGATAATATCTACGAAGACCCTATTTCCAAATAAAGTCACTCGTAGGAACCAGGGATTAATATTTGAGCATATCCTTTGGAGGGACACACACACACACCCTTTAGATTTACTTCTGCCTCTGGAGTTTAGACACCCTGAATCACCAAATCCTATCTCCAACAGGAAGCCCTGGAGGATACCCTCTTGCCTCCTTTCCATGTTATATAAACCCTTTCTAATTAGCAACCTTGGCCGAAGTGGTTACTTTTCAATTGCCTCAAGTTCAAGGACTTTATGGATCTCTGTCTGGCTATTCCTAAGCCTAGAAGTGAAGCAGTGATTTCTTATCCCTACTGTCTTTCTCCATTGCAGCCTGGCTTTCCTGGGCTCGTGGGCAGATAGATAGATCTACAGGAACTGGCAGTTCATGGCATAATTGCCAATCCAGGGAGGCCCCTGTGGCCCTTTGTTCTTTTTCCTTCTTCCTGGTTCCCTCTTTTTTATTATACCTCTCACTCTTCCTAGTCATTTGACAGTATGACTGGGAAGATGGGTGGTGATAGAGCTGAGTAAGGCTATTAGATGTCAAAAACAAAGTGTTACAATGAGATAATGAGGCTGGCAAAAGGGGCATTTTTAAATAAAGAATCCCAAACAGCTTTTGAGGTTTGCCAACCCCACTAGAATAAGTGTGTAGCTTCCTTGAATAACTGCAGGATGGACAAGACTTAATTGTATTACAAACTCTGTGTTTGATTTTTAAAGAAAAGCACCCTCATCAGTGTAATCACATCTCACCTTGGTCTGATGGCTAACCCATTCCTGATGGATATCAAGTAGTGTTATTTGGCTGGATCAAAAAAGTCAGAATTCTCCATGTATGTTTTAGCTTGACTTGCTTTGGTCCAGTGTTTTTTATATTGTCAGGTTACTCTACATATACTTTCTCAGAGAGATGAGACCATGTAAAACACTTTGTCATTAAAGCCCAAAGTAGTGTTGTCTCTCAAAGAAAAATACATGGATTTGTCATCATAGCAACTCACATTGCGTATAAAACTGAAGCATCACGTGGTCAGAGAAGCATGGATTCTTATTAGTCCAGTGTATAAATCTGCTTAGATATTCACCCTGTAGCCATTCATCCCTGTTCTTCAGAGCAGCTTCTGAGAACAGATATTTGCATCCACAGAGTATGAGAGCTTCTGCTACATACGTGCTGTGTTGACTCTGGCAAATGGTACCGTGGCTGCCATTTGGATGGCAGTCTTTGGATGCTGGTCTCTAATTTAGATGTAGATGCCAGAGCACTAGGGTAAACTCCACAGGTAGCTACACACAGTGGAAGATGTTTTGTTTTGTTTTGTTTTGTTTTTAAAAAAAAAAAAAAAAGAATATTAATGCTCAGCCCAAATAATGAATTGGGTTTTAATAGTGAAAACATAGTGATCTGAGTAAAGTCTGTAAAGGAAATGATGATGGCGTTTGGAGATTTCTCTACGAATGAGCAAAGACTTCTGGAAAAAGAACCAGTATATATAGATTCTCCATGAACTGAGACAGATACTAGTCTGTCCTCAGTCGTAGTAAATATGTTGACTTTCTTAGTTTTTCTTTTTAACATTTTATTGTGGAAAATTTTGAACTTATACAAAAGTAAAATAGTACAATAAGCCCTATATAGATAATACTCAGCTTAAACTATTATCAACTCCTGCCAATTTCGTGTTGCCTATCCCCCAGCCCACTCTCCCCTCTTCTCTATTATATGTAAACAAATCTCCTTTTTGCATAATATTATTTCATCCATAAATATTCTCCATCATCAAGGGTTCTTTAAAGAAAAATAACCACAATATCATTATTACATCAAAAACCCCACAAAATTTACAGTTCCTAAATATCAAATATTCAGGCAGTGTTCAAATTTCCAGTTGTCTCATGAATGTCAGAATATTTTGTTTTATTCTAATTCATTTGAGTCAGGACCCAAATAAGTCCCTCACATTACGATTGCTTGATACGTCTCAATCAAAACAGATTTCCCTCTCCATCTCTTTTTCTTTCTTGAAGTTTATTTGTTCGAAACTTTACTTTGATAAATTACTCTTCTCCCCCTACCTGACTCTAGGCCACATGCTGCTCAAAACCACATCTGTCATCTGTTCTTTTTGTTGATTATAGAGAGTTGAAATGGTTAGTATAGAAATTCTGGTATAAGATTTTGGGGGCATAAGGCTATAGCCATAGGAGAAAAGTAAGGTGTTAGGGGCATTTCGTTCTTTCTATTTTAACGAACATGAGCTACTGTGTCAGTTTTATTTGAGGGCATTTGTGGCAGTCTGTCTATCTTTGACCATCTTTTGTCTCTGCCAGGCCATGTGACTTTGATACATTGTCAAATAGTGTGATTGCATTTATTTATGATTTGATCCTGTCTTAAAATGAGAGATTTTTGTTTAAAGTTTTCAAATGGGTATTATATGTATTTTTAAACAGATTTCAACAAATTTAATTATGTTACAGGCGATTCATAGATACTATTGACACTGAGCAAAGTAGAGAAAAATGGGCTGGTTTAAGCTATTTAGAGTAGTCTACTTGGCTGGAATCTGGCCCCATACTTATACTAAGGTTACTGTTTATGCTTCTTTTATTTTTTCTAAAGGTCAGTATTATTTTTTAGGACTCTTGAGATGCAGGAATTGGACTATTCTGATAGAAGAAGTCACAGTCTAGGCATTCTGAATGAGTCCTCGTCCCACGTGAGGAAGAACAAACATTCTCAGAGAGGCGACTTAGACCAGGAACATTCAAACACTAGCTTTCTGACAGTTATTTCAGAGGCGAAAGCAATTTCCACGGGAAACACAACAGTCAGCATATCTTTCTAACACCAGTTCTCTGTCACACACCCCTGGATAATATATTGCGTTGACTCCTTCAGGACAGCCAGGCCAAGCCTGCTGATGTGGGATTGAGTTTTCCTGTGAATGCCAATTTAGCCAAAACTTGGCAATAAACCTGAATTTGCTGAGGACAAAGCCTGTGAAAGCATACTCTGTGTTGCAATGGGCTTTAGAGTTATGTAGCAATAACAATTATTTTACCAACAACTCAAGTGAATGAGGCTGTGTCTGCCCCTGTTTCATAGAGGAGATGCAGGCCATCGCAACAATAAATTTAGTTTAACAGTCACTTGACTAAATATAGGCAAAACACACCAATGCTTGATGTCATATTTGACTGACGCAGAGACCCAGAGAGTGATGGCATGCCCTCAGCATCAGCAACAGAGCTGGTACTTTCTCTAGGTTTGATTTGTTCCACAGAGAGCCACAAATTCTCTCTAAAGCCTACAGCCTTTTCTCTATCAGTAAACTTTGATTTGAAGATTAAATCTTTGGGATGTTAAATTAAAAGTTGAAACATTTATGGAGAAAATCGGGACCACTACATCCTGATTTATAATTTAAAAATATGTATGGCAGAGGGGTTCATCTGGAAATCAAATAAGATTACAGAAAGATTATTAGTTTCATGACATTGGATTTTTTAAATTTAAAAGCATTATGCTTTAGAAACATATAAGTTTGGGGGACACCATTAATGCTAAGAGTTGATAGAGGGTGAGTCAGCCTGACCTTACTTTTCTGTATCCTTGGACAGCCCTATTAGACAGACCATAGAAATGGAGGCCCATGTGGCCTAGTAGCACAGGCTCTTGCTTTGAAGATAGCCAAGTTTGCCTTGATGCTTGCCTGTTACTCACCTTTCTAGGTCATCCTCGATTTTTCAACCAGCTTTCCACTGGACTGGATATCATTGGTTTAGCTGGAGAATGGCTAACATCAACCGCCAATACCAACATGTAAGTCTCACATATTATTTTCATATAAACAATCATGATGTGTGATTTCGGCTTGTTACTTTGAAAGTCCAATTCTGATAATTCTATAATAATTTTATTACAGTTTCCCTAGTCGTATTTTCTCATAAAATCTTTTAGGTTTATTACAGTTCTGATTTAATAGTAGATAATCAAAAAACCATTTTAAATTGAATAATGTGTTTTAATAACAGCATGGTCATGAGAAATAATAACTCTAGCTTTTAAAATTTAGTGTAAATTTGTTAAAAGACTATATTTCTTAACGACATATCTAAATAGGTCACGTTTTAGGGTATGATCTTGGTTCATTTCCTATCCAAGCACGTTGGCCCTTATCTTTTAGGTCATATTTCTTTTATAATTAAAGCTGCCATAAAGCCACAAACTAATTTGATCAACCTATTGCTTAATTAAAAATTCCAAAACAAAATTTAGCTGGTAGTGATACATTATGTATTCCTCTTAAAATAACTGATTGTTTTTCTGAATTCGACATTTTTTTCATACTTGTTTGAGTAGGCAAAACCTTTGTTTCTAAGTTCTCATAATTTATATGAAACTAACTCTAAGGTCTTGGTTAGTGGTGTGTGTGTGTGTGTGTATGCGTGTGTGTGCGCAAGTATTACCTGGGTAGTCTTCTGGCAGTCACCTCATAGTTACATATACATGCTCTTTTTGGAGACAAGGAGAGGTGACAAATTGATGTAGGGTCATCATAGCCTACTGAGTACTGTCTTTACTCTCAACACTAGTGTTTTACCACTATCTATACACCACACAATGGCACCACATTCTATTAAATTTTCACGGGAAAATTTAAAAATAACTACATAAAGAATTATATGGATTTTAGTAACTGTGGAACTATTTAGAAAATAATCATCCACTTTTTAAGTTCATGGTAAAGTAGATTTGAAAAATGAATTTAGATGAAAGGGTGGTATTATTTAAAATGAGAAATTCTATTTGACATCAAGATAGAATGTAAGTTATTAAAGTTCAAGATAGAATGTAAGTTATTATTTTTCTTAAACTACTTCCAGCAACAAAACCTGAAATGGCACTTTAAAATTACATTTTGATTCGTGTGTGTTCCTAAGCTATTTAATGCTATGACTCAAAATACTTAACTACATTCAGAAAAGTTTCTGTTAATGAAAGATTCTTGCTTTGTTGGCTAATTTAAAACAACAATGACAAATTTTTAAAAGCAAATTGACAAGTGAAGCCTTTGGTACTAAAAGGCATAAAAGATTAAATTGATTGAAATTGAAAATGGTTTCCTTGCTCCCTGCTTGGGCGTCGTGATTAGCTGCACGAGTGTCCACATTGGATCACCGAGGCTGCAAAGGGCAAAGAGGAATTCAGGTCAAAGACACAGTCGCTGTACAGTCTCCTCAAACAAAATCACCTTTGCAGTTTTTACTATAGTAAGATTTATGAGTTAAAAATATATCAGCAAGCACAGACATTGTAATATACTAATTACAACTTGAAAAGACACTAATGCTCAATAAGAGCATCCCATTAAGAAACAATTTTAAGTAGAAAGTGCAGCTTTAAAAAAAAAACTTAACTATTTAGAAAATAAATGAGAAAAATAGAGTAAAAGATACATATCCATTAATATACCTGTATTATATTAGGCATTGAATTCACCCAGTGTGTACGTTGTAGGCCTCTCAGTTGCAATGCCCTAAAATACATATTGTGCCAAATCAAGGTAAATGAAAGGAACTCAATCCTTTGAACTGTGAATGACCAGATATTCTCCTAAAAAGCTTTTCTTCAACCAGAAAGATCTCACAAATTCTCCTTTTTTTTGTATGTCTTCATAAAATCAAAGTCCTTTACTCTTCCCTTACCTCAGCTCAGCCATGAAACACTAAAATATGTCCCAGCCATCCAAGGTCAAGGTCAATCCAGCTAAATGGCACATAGTAATTGCAGCTGTACTGAACAATAGATATTTATAAAATATGATCCGATTTCAACAGATCGATAGAGAAGGTTATTTAAAATAGTGAAATAGTTTCTGTCAGTTCTGGAGACAAGGCATTGTCTGAAGAAGTAATAACTATTATCTAGAAATTGTTCTAAACCAGTTCCCCTGGAAGATCATGAAATGTGGCAGCACTGTCAGGAGCTTATGCAGAAATTTGCTCCCCTGTGACAGTTCCTTCTCCGGCTAGGAGCAGTGTGCAAAATAAGTCTGGGAAAGAATGGCAAAAGGCTCTTTGTCAGAGTAGGATTTAATTAACGATATACTCAATTGTTTGACCTGCACTAGAATTGAGTTTGGATGGTGCTGGTAATAGAAAATAATTACTATATTCCTCAGTGTGATCTTTTTAGAAGTATCCAGTATCCTAATTCAAGTGGCAAAGTGTTAGGTATCTGACTGTTTTTTATGTTCATGCATTTATACCTACCTGTGCATATATCTTTGAGATGTATTCTTTCAAGCAAGGACGCACTGAAGATCCAAAGAAAACTTTACAAATGTGTAGTTATCCATGGAATGTACAGCTCTTTTCTTCCAAACCAGGGCCACCAAGCACAACTGTGCAAGTTGAGATGTGCCCAACTGTAAACAACAGCCTGCTCGCAAGAGAACAATACATAATCTTTATAGCAAGATTTATCACAGCCCTTTGTTATGAGGTTACGATTTCAACTATCTAGTGCTTTATTTTCATAGAAATTACACAGGGGAAATTTCCCATGGGAGTTATTAGTCATTTTACATAGTAGGCAGGTTGTTAGAGAGGAGCCTACAGTAAGTAATTCTGTTTGTCATGGAAAAGCAGCTGTGATGTAAAGGACTTGGAATTCTGACTCTCAAACATACTGAGATCTTAAAACACATCACTGAATTGCTCTGAACCTCAGTTTCTTCTTCAGGAAAATGGAGAATAATAATATCCATCCTACAGAGTGGTTCTGAAGACTAAAAAGAGCACCATTCTTAAGTGCCCGGTATATGCAAGGTGCAGTGCACACACCTAGGAACAGCAGCTGTTGCCATTCGAGACCTTCCCATCAAGTCTCTCAACTCTTTTGTTTCTGTCTATCTCTGGACACCAGCGGGACTCATTAAGCTACCTTCAAGTGTGTTAACTTTTAAGGTGAAGATAGGCCACCTGCCACATCTGTAAGGAGGGAAAATCTAAAGGGAATGTCAAGACAGAGAGTCAACATAGAAAATTATTTCTCTCATTAAAGAATTTTCCAGGTTAGCAGTCACCAGGGATCCAGATTCCTTGTGCCTTTCTGATCCATATTGTAGCACATGATGGTGCAGGCTGGCTGCTGGAGCTCTAGCATCATTTCCATGTTTCAGAACTCAGGAAGGAGGGGGTTGAGGATAGAAGAAGGAAGGGCAAAAAAAAAAAGAAATTTTGGAAGCACAACGTATTTTCTATAGCATCTCTTTAGCCAGAAATTAGTCCCACGACCACACCTAGGGAGGCTAGAAAATGTAGTTTTGATCTGGGTAAATTGCCACCCCAAATAAAATTGACTGAAGCAAGAGAAGATTGATACTGGTTAGCAACCAGCTGACTCTGCCGCAGAGAATACAGCTACTTGACAATCACTTTGCCTTGGTTCTAAGTGAATCCAACTGGGGAGATGAGTTGAGCCACTAAAAAAGGGCTGACTCACTACCCTGCTCAGAATACAGAAAGGCTCCTCTAGTGTCACTTCATGAATGTTGCCATCTTATTGCTTTAAATATTACTTCCAATCCCATGTTCTTATGCTTCAACCCAGAGCTGTTTGCAGATTTAGTTTCTTGTTCTCTGATTGTGAAATGTAATCTTGTACTCTAACTTCAGCTTCTTCTTAATCCATATTTGACCTTTCATCTCTTGATTTTATCTGCTTTCATCTGTCATTTGGGGAAGGGGTACCTAACCTGGAGTCCAGGTTGCAAGAGGGAAGTGTCCTACAATTGTATACCAAATGATGTGTGTGTCCTCATTTTCTTCCTGCAGAGAGAGACCATAGCTTCCCTAGGAGCTCCAAAGGGGTCTATGACTCCAGTTAAGAACCATTGTTCTAGGGTGAATTTTAAGGCCTTCTATAAAGCTTTGGGTGCAGGCAGACTCCCAGTCGTAAACATGGCCCAGGATGGAAAGGCAGGGTCACGGAAATGTCAGAAACAGGAACCATGTTAGCCAGCCCATTTGTCAGGCCTGGCTGAGGATCAACAGCCACAGAACAGTATATCTGCTTCCAGGAGAGGGTGTCAGAACCAAGGTCATGAATCCAGATAAGCTTGGTTGTAAATGTGGAATAACTGGTTTTTCAGACCCAGACCCAGAACTTACCTAAGGCTAAGAACCAGGTGCTGGATTCATCCTCATAAGCTTCTTCCTCAAGGTTGGGAATGGTGTCTTATAACATCTTTGTCTTCTCAGTACGTAAGAGGCCACCTGGCAGAGAACAGTCATCCAATAAGTATTTGTTGAACGGAACTGAAAGAAAGGTTTAGGAACTGGGTACCTGGCACAAATAAGCAACCTGGAAAAGATGAGATAAGATAGTCTCATAAATAGAGACTATTTACTTTCCAAATCTTGAGAGTAATGGCTATGCTCCTTCCTGGTCCTTAAGTAGAAAGACTAATTCTAGGACTAAACCTGGGGCCTAATTGATTCAAATCATGAAGTGGACCAACCCCCTGGCCTTCGGTCCCATCATCTCCCTTCCCCACATGGTTCCTACCTAGCCATCTAACACCAACTTAACTCCAACTCACTTCATCCAATTCTTGATAAGGTTCTGATATTATGGTATATGATTCCATTTGTTCCTTCCCTTATTCCAGAGAACCTTCTCATTTGGTATTGTGGTATCCCAACACACACAATGCCACCAGTATTTATTCACCATGCAGACATTTTTGCCATCCCAACATTTCCGAAAATCGATGACACTATTAACAAGAATGGTTAGAAGCACATCATGAGTTTACCTCTTGGAATACTCAGTAGCACAGGCTAAACCGGGAATCCTTCTCTTCTTCTTCCTTTATCAGGCCATCAGACATGAGGGAGTGTTGGTTGCTACGGTGATGGGGCTCAGAGCAGAACCCAAGCATGATTGTGACCTCCAGAGGTGATGGTAACTGAACACATGATTTCCAAGGGTCTTTCTCCTAAATTTCAAGGGTCTTCCTAAGGAAAATGAATGTACTCTTTTTGGAAACAAAATTCTTTTACCAACAGATATATCCTGAGTATCCTCCAGGATCTTTTCGTCCTCTTTTACCACCATGTAATTAATTGATTCTTTTTTCCATGATTAAAACTTAGTAGCTTCACCTGTGTCTTATGTACAATTGTTATCTCATCTTTGCAAATAGCTTTTCTAAATCATTAAGCCAGCAAGAATTCCTGTTGGTCCTCAGCATTGGCATTCAGCCAAAACACCCTAACCAATAGTAAAGTCTCCCCCTATCACTTGTCTAAGTCAATCTAGGCATCTCTCTTCAGTAAGCATGGTCTGAGCCGAGCCCACAGACTCTAATGCTTAAGGTCAAGCAAAAAGAAGAAACACAAAGGGCCTCAGAGTCAGTAAATATCTTTGTTTTCTGGCTCAGTTTTCTGTGGATTGACCTTCTTTGATGTCTCTTAAGCCCTACACTTGACACCACAGTCTTGTTTCAGTGACTAGTCTACCAGACTATACTTCCATATCGAATTGCTTTGAGAAGAGCATAGCTTTTTATGTTTAAATCAGTCTATTCGAAGCCAAGGGTAACCTACGAGGATATGTGATGCCCACAGTTTGCTGTGTATGTCAGTTGGTCATCTTCTTGTTACTTATAATTGGTAATTAGAAAATCATCACTTATAATTATTCTTGACAGATATCGACTTCAGAGAATTATAGAAACATAGCTGTCCTTGGGGATTATCGGTAGAAAAACCATGTAGATAATTATATTGAGATCTTTAAAACCTGGGTCAATATTTCCAATTATCTTCGCAGTTAGCTTCCAGATGTTTACATTGTTTTTAAAAGAGAGACTTTGGCTCTGGGTTTTATAGATTCTACAAGTGTGAAATTAGCAGTCAGTTTTTAAAAAAAATGTTGCAAACTAATTGTATATAGAACTTAGAATATGTTTTTTTTTCAATTAACATTTGCATCATCCTACAATCTTAGAGGTTAAAGAAAAGTCGTTTTCTTTCCTTCTATTTCTCTGGGTCGACCACAGCTAGAATATTTTATTCAGAGGAGAATTTATTTTATTGGAGAAAAATCACAGAGCAGGCACTTCTACCACCTCTTTTGTTAACCCAAGCTGGTTTCTGATATTTTATGATTGGTGACTTAAATGTATTTCCAGAAAATGAATTGTTTTAGTGGTTTTGGACCTTTTTTAGAACCTAAGTACAAATACTAAGTCAATCACCTGTGTTCCCCAAATAAGTTGTTGACATCTTTATTTCCATTCATTTTTATCACCTTTCCAGGTTTACATATGAAATTGCTCCAGTGTTTGTCCTCATGGAGCAAATAACACTTAAGAAGATGAGAGAGATAGTTGGATGGTCAAATAAAGATGGTGATGGGATATTTTCTCCTGGTAAGTTTCTGTTCGTTTTCCCTGGCTCTCTTCAAGTTTTGTAGTATGGATCCTAAGGACCCTTTTGAGAATACTAAACACAAAGTGAGTATGTGAAAGAATGACCTTAAAAATTTTTTTTTTAGACTCTGCCTTTCTATCTTTGTCAGAGTGAAGGCTAGCAAGAATGCTACATTCTTTGTGTACTAACTAACAAATGCTGTGCCTAAACCCATACAAACTGACAAAGACTGTGTCTAAATCATGCTAAACAACTTTGGAAATCAACAGCAGTTTAATTAAGTTGGGGATCAGTGAATCAAGATTATCAATTGACTAATCAATTTCAGCCAAAATAGTGTATCTACTTTGAATTTCCAGTTTGATGTAGATATGATAAGAATCTTTAAAACAAGGGCAGATGTTCTTGTAGGTCAGAACAAGTTTGAGATGATATCACAGACAGTGTGATTATATGCAAGAGGAAGAGAAGAAATAAGAATTGTACTTGTCCAGGCAATTCAAGCAGACCACAGATTTGCCTATTTAATCATCAGGTAATTGATGCAAAAGTGATTAGTTTGTGTTGGCCAGACATGCCTAGTTACCTAATTGCATCTTTAAGTAAACGTAAGTTTGGTTTTATTAAAATAAATAAAGAGCTCTATTAAATGGCTTAACAACTAGCTGGCCTATTCTTTGAGCAGAGTATCCAGGCAATGTCACAGTTTCCTTTAGTAAGCTCCATTATTCTTTTTTTCTCTGTCTTTCTGACTCAGAGAACAAATTCATCTTTGTTCAGTAAATAGATTGAGCAGAAAGTAGAAGCAGGGAAGTTGTAACTCACCTATCTCTTTGTAGCACTGCCAGCGCCACCTCATATTTCTGTCTAGTCTTCAGATGGGATAGGCACTGGAGTACTTGAATCACCTCCAGCCAAATTGCCTAGATGGCTCTGGTAATGAGTGTGACTACTGTATTCCCAGGACAAAAGGTCTAGAGGAAAGCCCTGGCAATAGGAAAGCCACAAAACCGATGAGAATATTGTCTTTCCTCTTTCTGACCTCCCTTGTCTCTTGAGACATCAGCTCAGCCTTTGCTGTTAGAAACTATAATGGAGGAGCTCCAACACCTCCCAATGTGTCTGCTTGCTGCTAGGGGGAGCCATATCCAACATGTACAGCATCATGGCTGCTCGCTACAAGTACTTCCCGGAAGTTAAGACAAAGGGCATGGCGGCCGTACCCAAACTGGTCCTCTTCACCTCAGAACATGTGAGTTGGGTGCTCTTGCTCATGGATTGTGGTGTTTCTCAAAGGACTATCTAATGTCTAACCTTAAGCCTCTGTTTGTTGCAGAGTCACTATTCCATAAAGAAGGCTGGAGCTGCACTTGGCTTTGGAACGGACAACGTGATTTTGATAAAGTGCAGTGAAAGGTAGGCAGGGGAGAGTGAATATTAGATTCTTGATGTATTAAATGTGTTCATCTGTTAAATTTGTTTTATTGTGCTTAAGGACTGACTCAGTACAGTGTGCCAAGCTGCTAATGGTCTGTTGAAAATATCCGATTAAATTACTTTTTGCTGCAGCTGAAGTTTTTTTCATGTGCAATCTCATTGATTCTTCATTTTAGTTTCTCTCCTTTTATCATAATTACAGGGGGAAGATAATT